GCATCCGAACATGAGAGTGAGCGACCTTATTAATCAAGAAACAAAGTCCTGAGATCTGAACCGGCTGGAGAACTACATTGATGTGGCTGATATACCACTTATAAGGAGTATAGCCATTAGTGCAACACATCGCAGGGACACGCATTGCTGGAGTTACACAAGGAATGGGCAGTACACAGTCAAATATGGATATTGGGTTGCACGGAATATACTGATGAAGAAGGAGGAAGCTGTAGTTTGTGAACCTAGTATCACATGCTTGGAAGGTTAAGGTACCCCAGAAGATGTGTCATCTTATGTGGCAAATAATAACATGACATGTGGCTGCTACAAATACTCTGAACTATCGACATATGAGATATGAATACCACTATCCACGATGTGGGGAACCAGAAGAATCAATTGCACATGCAATCTTTCAGTGCCCACCTGCAATGCAAGTGTAGGCCTTATCATCTATGCCCTTCAGTCCCACCTTGTTTCCATCACACAGAGCACATATGCGAATATGGATTATCTCTTTTGGAAGAAAAATGCTATAATGGAACCGGATTTGGACAGAGATCCCTATCCCTGGCTAATTTGGTATATTTGGAAAGTTTGGAATGATAAGCTGTTTCGAGGAATTGACAGAGACCCATTGGAATTAGTCTGTCATGCAGAGAGTGAGTGCCAAGTCAGATTATATCGCCAGCTCAAGGCAACATAGATGTTGAAAGCCAGACCTTAAGTCTGGGAAATATATGTATGGTAGATAGTTCATGGACCTCTACAGCTCAGTTCAGTGGATGTGGTTGGGTTTGGAATGACAATATTAGATTAATATTTTTTAATAACTAGCCAAAAAGTATTTAATTAAACTATTAACTATTTAATTAAACATTTAGTCCATTTAATTATTGTGTGTTAAATTTATGATAAAAAAACCTTTTAGTATCATCATAGATAATTTTTAATTAAAATATTAGCAAATGTGTAGAAAAAAAGTAAGTTGTGTTGGTACATTGCAAAACGACACTGTTTTTTCTATAAGAAAATGTGTAGAAAAAATCCATTGTGTTGAATATCCTGTGTCTTATTCAGTGCACATACTTTTGTTTCTTCCACTGTGTGAATCCATAGCTATAAATATGTGAGTTCCCTTCCTTGAATTTCATCAGTTCATTCCTCCAAATCATCTTTTCAAAAAAATTCAGAGTTTGGTTTGGAAAATGCTTCTCAACTACTCGTTTTGAAAACCGGCGCCACCGTCGAAGTGCATCTCCTGAGGTTTTGTGGTTGGGTTTGACTTTCAATTTTGATGTCTATTTAACTATTTAATTAACCATTTAGTCCATTTAATTCTTGTGTGTTAAATTTATGATAAAAAAAACTTTTTAGTATCATCATAGAGAATTTTTAATTAAAATATTAGCAAATGTGTAGAGAAAAAGTAAGAACTCGAAAATTGTGTTGGTACATTGCAAAACGACACTGTTTTTTCTATAAGAAAATGTGTAGAAAAAAATCCATTGTGTTGAATATCCTGTGTCTTATTCAGTGCACATACTTTTTTTCTTCCACTGTGTGAATCCATAGCTATAAATATGTGAGTTCCCTTCCTTGAATTTCATCAGTTCATTCCTCCAAATCATCTTTTCAAAAAAATTCAGAGTTTGGTTTGGCAAATGCTTCTCAACAACTCGTTTTGAAAACCGGCTCCACCGTCGAAGTGCATCTCCTGAGGTTTTGTGAAGCACAAAATGTAAAGAAATGCGACAAGCTTGGATATTGGCATGCTACCCTTCGACACTAAAGTAATTCCGAGGAAATATCTCACAACTCTCCTGAAGAGGCACATTAGCTTCTTCTTTCAGTCCCAAGAATTATGTCTTTTTGGGGTATCTTAACATGTTTTTTCTTTGGTATGCGTTATTTTTTTCTGAGTCATTGTTGAATGCAACCTTAGAGCCATGTTTTTTACTTCTCTGTTTAGAGTTTTTTTTTTCTCACCAGATTTTGAGGTTTCCAACAAAAATATGTTGTAAAGTTCTCTCCCTTTTTGCCAAGTCAAATCTGCTATATATAGATTAAAACAGTTAATTCATACTTTGTTTAGTTTTGGTTCTACTGACTTTCAGAGTAAAAATCAGCTTCAGGTACTAAGAAAAATACTAAATCTGAATAAGTTGGATTTAGAATTCTACTCTTTGTTTATCGTGCTTTGTCTTAATCTTCCTTTTAACCTGTAGAACAACTATCAAGCTTTCAACTTGAACACACTAAATGTAAATGGCCAAGGCAAAGAGCTTTGTCCCTCTTCAGGGCATAAGGAATGATGTCATTGGGAGACTCAAATCCTACAAGCATGATTGGATCAGTGGTTTCCGAGCTGGATTTAGGTATGTTCATGTCTCTTCTCTTTTGCTTTTACAAAAAGTGTTAATGCTTGAGAGAGATGAGACTGATCTTCATTTATTAAAAATATTAGGATTCTGGCACCAACAACATACATATTCTTTGTTGGAAATGTCCTAAAAGCATTTGTACTTATTCTAGTAGAAGTCGTAGTGTCGAGGTTTGACAATCATATAAAATTAGGTGATTATAATGTTTTGTTAGAAACCGTTTATAATCTATGAGTTGAGAATTCATTACTAATTTTATATGATCCTACAGGATCACACACCTAAACAAATTGGATCATAAAATACATATGTATTTAGGTTGTATATTATATAATGTATATAATGTAAATATGTGATGAACGTTCGTAACATCACGTTAATGAACGTGTGTGTCCACTTCCTTATTAATAAGGTTTTGGGTTTTGACCCATAGTAACCTAATTAAATTTATAATAATGATTATAAATAAAAAGACGTGATTGAAGTTTTGAAGTAGCACAACTTTATGGTGTGAAACTAGACCCCAAGAAACAAAGAGAAAAGAGTTTGTCAAAGTTTTGGGATTTGATCTCAACGGTACTAGTATCCCTTATCGATCCAATTTATGTGCGTGCGGATACCGGTAGAGGCACGACGATTGGAGTGCTCGAAATCTCGACTTGGTTTATTCATCTTTCCGCTGCGAATAACCAGGTATATTCAAAATTCTAAAGATCTAGATTTATTTCATTATTAACATGAGATTCTAGGAAATAGAATTTATATGTTGTTTTATAAATCGTTATAAACCGGTATAAATTCCTACATTCTTTGCATCCCCAAATCCTGTAATTACATCTGTAGAACAATTGGAGAGAGATAATGGTACATGAAATTGACACTTTTGCTCCCTCACTTAATATCTTTCATGGTAATGAGAGTAACATATAAAGCTGCCAGCTTGTGTTTTCTTTCTTTTGCAACTTGTCCAGATGGGAAAATCACAAAAGTTCAAACTTCAAATGAACTGAAATTTGCTAGCTCGAAGCTTTACTACCACAAAGCAGGTGTTGTAGTGATTTAATACTGTCTGGACTTGCATACTGTTTATCTCTATTTATAGCTGAATTGTGTTATTAGGGGTAGGGGAATTGCAGGGCAGCTATGCATAAGCAATTGTAAATATTGAGTTTATTAGTAAAAAAATTATTGATATACCAAATACTCTAGAAATTGGTTAAAGTGCAAAAGAATAAAAAACAAAGACTTGGTGTCAGATAATGCGATCCCATCTTGCTAGCCAAGTTACCATAGTTAGAACTGGTGTCATAATATTCCTGCTCTTTTCTTCTTGCAATCATCATCATGTCGACATTCTTATTATCATCCGGTTCATGATCCTAACCCAAAGAGTTGCAGCATGTATGATTTTCCCTCAAGAACCTTATTAAGGCAGCACTACTTCATGTTATGAACAGATTTTTTAAAGAACAAGACCACACACTGTTGATTTGGTTAGTGTATCCCAAGGTAAGTTTACAAAGAATAACAAACGTCGTGTAAAGCTCAGAAGTCAAAATAGACCATGTCATGTGAAACAAAAAAAAAAGATAGAAGAGGTGTTTACTCCTAATGAGTTAGTTCCTTTGTCTAGATGTAAAGCATTGACTTCAGTCTATGATTTGTCAGTGTCTCAGCATCATTTGAATAACTTTCAGAGACAATGATTCTATTCCAAAAATTCCAATGAATTTAAAAATAAACATAAAAAATAAGAAATAATATATGTTTATCGTAAAGAAACTAATCAGCTGACAGCTACCATTCTAAAGATTTTTATTCTAAATACTATCATAATCAAGACAAATTTGTGATATCAAATAAAAATTAGAATAAAATTAAAATAGTGAAAATTATATTTATATTTGCAAATGCTCATTCAAATACTATAAGATGTTTTATATTATTTTCAATTCACTGTCCCACACGTAGAGCAGATTAACCTAATAAGTTTGTAAAGTTTTATTGAATGCAAACTAAACCAAATGGAACTAACTCTGACTGAGTTTGGTTAGAATTTTATCTAGACTGAGTTAAACTAAATTGGAACCGATCCCAAAGTTGAAAGGAAATGCACACTATAATCATAACATATAAACACATGCATCATCTTATACGAAAAACAAAGCCCGTTCATTAATGATAGATTACGAATTTTCGTAAATTTAGATGTTATCTAATTCAAGCATTAGATGTCAAAAAAAAAATCTAATTCAAGCATTGACTTTGACTGAAGAAATTAAAAATAAATATATATATATATATATATATATATATATATATATATATATATATAAATATTTACTACATCCTTCACATCAACAAAGAATCGACTAACCCACAATTCAGTCCCCATGATCACACAATTAATTCAAGTCACACGGTAATCCCTTTCAATTAATGATTGTACTCTTTGGAACTCGTAACTCCCATTACATTGCACACAATTCCCTGTGGAATTAATTATTTTCTTTTACAGAGATCGACTATATATGTCTTCGTCAACACAGTCTCCTTGTTTACTTTCTTCTATAGTACTAATCTGCTCTGTTTCTACTAGTTACTATTCTGAAAATGGATCCTAACTCTCTACAAACACTTGATTCTATGAAAAGCGAAAACCAGTATGATCCAGATTCGTTGTTCGACATGCTGGAAAAGTAAATTGAAACCCGACTCGTTTACCTTGCGAAACAAGTCATCTATATTTTACTTAGTTTTTTTTTGGACTTAATGATTTTCCATCTACAGGTTGCCTCCGCTAGATTCTCTGCTAGATACTGAAGATCTGAAACAAGATGCAGGGCTTCATTTCCAGTATCAGTACAGTGGTTTCGGAGATTTCTTCGAAAACATTGAAGCAAATAACATAATATCATCTGATATTCTCATGTTGACTCAGGAACCCTACTTCGCCAGTGACACCTCTTCATCATTGGCTGTCCAAAACAACGACCATCTCAATTCCAACGAGAGACGCGAAACGAGAACTCCACAGAAGTGGAACACTAGGACAAAAAGACGACAAGACAAGTTAGAGTTGTCCGAGATCAAAAAGTACTTTGATAGACCAATCATTAAAGCAGCAAAAGAACTTAACGTTGGGCTTACGGTGTTGAAGAAACGTTGCAGAGAACTTGAAATTTATCGGTGGCCTCACCGGAAGCTCAAGAGTCTTAACTCTCTCATTTGCAATCTTAAGGTAGTATAACGTTTATTTGATTCAGTTGCGTTTTAGGGTTTATGCTTCTTGATATTGATATTTAATAATTTTACTATTAAATAAGCACAAAATCAAATACTTTTTTGGTGATAGGGTGTTGGAATGGACGAAGAAGTGAGGAATTTGGAGGAACATAGGGTTCTTATTGAGCAAGTACCTGATGTTGAGCTAACGGATGGGACAAAGAAGCTTAGGCAAGCTTGTTTCAAAGCTAAGTACAAGAAAAAGAAATCACTTGCCAACGATCGTTACTATTAAATCTATTTTAGTCTTTAGAGGTTTATTTATCCACAATTCTATTTCATGTTTCTATTTTAATAAGAGAGATGATGTTTTTTTACTAGTGACCCAATTTTGGTCAACATAGAACATCTAGGTTTTTTTTTGGTTCAAAAGATATCTACGGATTGTTCTTATAATGTTTTGAGCCATTTATTTGATGAACGCACGCGTTTATCAAGTATTTTGTTCAATGAAATTAAACTCGAGTTGAATAAATTACAATCATATTTACATTTGAAGAAATATAATGATTGTATTATAATGTGTGCTCCGTAATTAAACTGCCATTTCTAAACAACTTGGACAAAAATTTACACAAACGAGCAATTATAGACAAATGTATTTAGCAAAAAATAAAATAAAAGACAAATGTAGAAAGAGGTGAGAGAAACGCTCCCAGGTGCTTGGATCAATTATTCAAACAATACATCATTGTCTCTTGTTTCACTTTTGGTTAAAGAAGGGCTTTTACTGTAAGAAATAAGGGTTTTACATTCAGATTTTGATTCAGTTTCAATCTGACTATTTGGATTTATTTAGTATTTTGATTTATAAAAATTAGCTACCATATTAAAACAACATTTATTTTAGTTTTTATATAATATCGGTTTTTAATTTATTTCATCTATACCAAAAACATAACTATATTTATCTTTTATTATATTTTGTGAATTCAGGTATATGATTAGAAACACAAATATATTTTTAGTATTGTAACTTTTCAATAGAATATTTTGGAAGTCCAACCAAAAAGAAGATGCGGAGGAGGAGGATCATGAAGATCTTCCTAACGTACTTATTGAGGTAGAACATCTTTGGATACTGCTAGGGTAAATTTATCAGATATTTTATATGCACTACGGAAACTGGAAGTAAACAATGGACAAACATGAATAAATATTAAAAGTATTGTTTTATTGATCAAAGGAGCCACAACTACAACAAGGTGAATTGTAATACCTAGTTCTAGCCGATTTGCTCTATATTTTTTAATCTAAGATAGTCAATCACTTTTTCTATGGTTTGGGTCCCTTTATATAATTGTTTCCTAGTTAGAAATTAGGTTATCTCCTTCCATATCCTGAAATATGGAAGAATTCATCTTTATTAGAAGTTTTTCATTTTACTGAGAATCAGGAATGAAGCTGAGATTTCTCTAGGCTGGAATCGAAGGTCAATATCCTGCTCGGACGCATGATTAATGACTTCTTAAATTATTTTTTTCCAATAGTTTTCCCTTATCTTTCAATTTCATGAGTGAAGTGGAAAGATAACTTATGCACTTCGGTTGACCGGAGTAATTTCTTCTTAGAAGGTTTATCATGGGCAGTCACTTCTTTAATGCCCTTTTTGGGTGTTCTGGCCTGGACCATATATGAATCCAGTAGTAGATTTCTAGTTGCGATTATTCGAAGGATGATGGCTCTTTACAAGTGTTTATAGGCTTTAGAGCTGGTGAGATCAAATAATCTTGAAGTATTCATGATCCTACTCTCGCATTTCAGTGGATAATGATACTTGTTTCCTGGCACAAGGCCTTGGTGTTTTTCTTTTGTTTTGACGAGAAATGTTTCATCATCTTAATCTCAACGGATTCGTATTTTTCTTTTGTTTTCTTGATATTTATGGCACAAATCTTTTGATATGATCCTGATCAGCATCAAAGTCCATGGTATGAAAGCATGACATGAACCAGCTAATCCGTTAATCATGCTCTGGTTTAATGAGCATTTTCGGGGCAGATTGATTTATGAAGTTTTGGATTGAGAAAAGCTACTGGGTTTGGAGCAGAACGTGAAGAACTTTAAATGAGGTTTGAGCTTATGATTAGGTCAGTAAAAACGCATAAAAAGTTAGATATCAAAGCCAGCCCATTTTTATGAAGTTACAAACCCATTAGGAGCCTAAAACAAGCGGTTTCTTTGCAAGAAAAGAGGAGTAACGAAAATCAAAGAATTAATTGCAAGAAGCTGTTATCTCTCTCTTGCATGCAATGATTTTTTTGTTTCAAGAGTCTTCTCTCCTCTTCATGTATTGGTTTTTTATTTCCTAAAATAATTATTATCTCACTTTCTCTGCAAGTTTAGTTATCTTATAAATAACTATGTAATCTCTTGTTTTAATCATTCAACATTTTTCATAAAAATCATCTTCGTTATACTTGTTGAATCATTTCTGATTGTTGGTATGTGATATCCCTCAATCTAACTTGGTCTAATCTAGTTTGTCATATCTAGGGGCGATCATTATAGTGTAGTATTAAGAGACTTTATGTACCTCTTGTGTAACTTTTCGATCCACATCCCTTGATTGGTTGTCGCTTTCTAGCTCACTAAGTGCAAGGCTTATCCATTACCAATTTCAGAGTGTTGATCATTGGGAGGATCTTATGAAGTGGTATCCGAGCACATTCTGAAAGTTGGATAATCATGTCCGAGCATGAAGAAAAGGCTAGAAGCAATCAAAACAATGAGTTTCTGATTGAATCTATCAAGGCCATAATAGAGCAAAAGATGAACTTCAGACTTGATTCTTTACGCCAGGAGATAAATCAATCCGGAACTCAAAGGAAGAAGATAGAGCAACAACCGCCCTCTAAAGCAATTGAGAAAGCAATTACAGCCAGAAATGAAAATAAGCAAAATAAACGTTTGGAGAGATGGCTACAGTTGTTCAAGGAGAGTCTCCATCAAAGGATCACAGCCCCATTTTCATCTACTGTTGCTGCTAATCAAGAGATCAAAGACACTGAAAAACCAACTGTATTTTAATCAAAGAGATTCAATGAACGACCAGCTGCATCACGAAGATGAACAACATGTTGTAGGTGCTGTATTGCCAGTCCAAAACGTGGCTAAAGAATCAGAATTCATTAGACCAGAAGAAGCTGAAGAAAAAGAGCCTAAAACAGCTGACAATTCAGGTGAAATTGAAGGTTCATTTTCATGCTATGAATTGATCCAGCCATTGGATTTCAATAAGAACAATCCAGAAGAGCAACTGAAGTGTTAAGATGGACTGCAACACTTTGTCTTTGAGCCAGGGGAAAAGGAGTGTAAGCACAAAAGCAATGACAGCGCCTTAGTCAATGGTACAGCCACAATGAAACTGCACAAGCTCGGCTATATCATCTTAGAAGGTTCGGATTTGAGGACAAATCATTTTCAAGAGGGAGAGTATAATATGATCATGATCAGCATCAAAGTCCAAGTTATGAAAGCATGGTATGAACCAGCTAAGCCATTGATCATGGTCTGGTTTAATGAGCATTTTTGAGATCTAATTGGATTGATCTATGAAGTTTTGGATCAAGAGAAGTTATTGGGTTTGGGGCAGAACGTGAAGGCATTTAAGTGAGGTTTAGGCTTATGATTCGGCCAATAAAAGGCCCAAGAAGTTAGGTATCAAAGCCAGCGCATTTTTATGAAGTTACAAGTTAATTAGGAGCCAAAAACAAGTGGTTTCTTTGCAAGACAAGAGGAGTGACAAAATCAAAGAATTAATTGCAAGAATCTCTTCTCTCTCTTACATGCAAGAAATACTTGTTTCAAGAGTATTCTCTCTCTCTTTCATGTACTATTTTGTGATTTCCTAGAATAATTATTATGTGGCTTTCTCAGAAAGTATAGTTATCTTGTAAATAATTATGTAATCTCTTGTTTTATACATTCAACACTTTCAATAAAAATCATATTCTTTTAATTTTTTGAATCATTTCTGATTGTTGGTATGTGATATCGCTCAATCTAACTTGTTCTAATCTCGTGTGTCATATCTAGAGGCGACCGTTATAGGATAGTATCAAGAGACTTTCCGCACCTCTTGTATCACCTTTCGATCCACATCCCTTAATCGTTTGTTGCTTTCTACCTCACTCGATGCAAGGCTTATCCATTACCAATTTCAGAGTGTCAATCATTAAGAGGATTTTATCATCTTCTAACTTGCTAATATAAGAGTTTTAGACCAAATTTTTATAGAATTATCAGATTGAAGCAAGACGATTTTGTGGTATAAAACCCCGATTATCATGAGAAAAAATGATGTAATGACTTATGATAATGTAAAGGTATTACATATGAAAATTAAAACTAATTAAGAAAAACTCGGAATACAAGAGAAACTACGTAGACTATTAAAGTTTTCACGCTTAATGTCTTCCCAATTCCACATGAAATTGCAACAATATTAGAAATCTCCATCATGCGCTGGATTGGAACGCTAGAAGAGAAAAAATTTAAAATCTAAAGTTTTTTAATATCGGAAATCATGAATCACTTGATATCATTAACAAATTTCCATGTTTTCAGCATTAGCTGCTGCATATTCAAGTAAAAATGTCTTCAAATGTGCTATAAGTTATTTGCGCTTTGGCTTCTTTTTTTTTGCATGAAAAACAGTCACAATAACATTCTCTTTCACATCGGGGGCATGTGAAGTCTAACCAAAATGGGTATTTTTTGTTTTTATCAGTTGTAACATAAATCACCACAACATTTCTTACCTCAAAAGTGGTATTTTCCAATGGGATGCGCCTGTGATAGAGCTGCATTAGTGCATTAGAGCTGCCTTAGTGTTAGTTAAGTGTTTGTGCCAAAATAGTGCACTTCCAAATGTGGTATTTGCTAGTGGGTTGTGCCTGTGATAGAGCTATGTTAATGTTGGTTAAGAGAGTCTCGATAACATAATCATCATTATCGATGAGACACTTGTTTATCTTCCAAAATAATGCAACTCCATATGGATCTTCTAGATTTATCTTTTATAATATTTGATAAATTTTAGTTTTTATAATTAAACATCAAATCTACTAAATATAAGATATTAATATTCTAACTTTTAATATAATATTTTCTATTTTATTTAAATATTTAAAATAATAATTAGTAAAAATTAAAATTGAATGATTATGATGATTTTCCTTAAAAAAAGATAGTGATACCATTATAACTAAACTTCAGCATAAATATATATCA